TCTTCCGCGCATTTTGCAAGGACGCACATGCAACGCCTGCAAAAACCGGTGAAACAGCGCTGTCGAGATCATTTCACGTGCGAATGCGTCGGCCATGCGTCGTCGTTTTGCTGGCCTCCAGAAGAAACAAGTTTTGCGGTTGTGAAATCATTGCACAATGAGACTAAGCCCCTGTAAGCTTACCTGCATATCCGTCAGGGCGCACGCGGTCAATGAATGCATCAAGTGCCGAGTTATTTTACATTCTTCCCAAATTTTACCGCGCATAAATTTGCTCATGAATGCCAACTGCCGGAATATTTTGCTTTTTTAAGACCGTGGTGGTAAAACAGGATGCTCTGAACGTCCAAGGAGCCATTCGAACGTGTTCAGCTTTTGATAATCTGGCCGAAACCATTGTCGCAGAGAAGAGTGATGGCAGGTTATGGCGTCAGCGTCAATTCCATTAGGAAACATGAGTATGGCTTCTCTGCAATCCCCACCCAAAATTTTCCGAGTCCATGGCGGGCCGGCCGGGCGCCTCGGAAAATGACGTCACAATTTTTAGCAGCGTATTCCTAATCGCGTTCACATTCATATGCGCCGAAAACGTGGCCACGCACAACGCAGTCATTTATGCGTGGAGTCCAAATATGAATATGGCCGGGTACGCACCACAGCGTTCGGCACTCGCATCATTGTCCACGTCACCTCTAAAGCTCACCGTGAAACCTTCAGGCATCTAGTCGTAAAAAACCGGTTACGCATCTGTCCGTCAATAAGAAACCGAATCGAAATATGAATAACAGACATGTGTTCGCCACGTTTTCAGTAATATGTTCTTCTCGCAGGCTGACCTTTATAGGTCACCGCATAGGCTACAGGGAATCAATGACACACAATGTTCACACAATAATTCGCTAATGATGCGTCAAATTACAGCATGAAAAACCGTCACATGCTCACTATGACGCCAGGGTATCCACCATGGACAAAATGACCTCCAAAGATCAATATTAAAGGGAGTGTTCTACATTTCCATGGTGTTTTGAGCCGAGATAGCCATTTTGAAGATCATTGAGTGGAGTTCGCAGCCCGGCCCTTTTTAAGGCTCATGATCTTTGGTTCCTGAGCCTGACGCCCGCGAATTTGTGCAGACTATTTCAAGATCATCCTGATGCCATAGAAACGTCACACGAATCCTGCCACCTCATTGCCCATGCAGCGCGAAGGCCACGGACAATATTGCTATCATTACCATAGACAAGAGTATTACCATTACCAAACATTACAAAACATATTACTTTTCGTACCTGGCGTACGTCAGTACGATTTCTGGCATCAACAGGCTTCAATTGGCTTTGAACCTAGGCGACACGTCTCATGCAAGTGTCGAACTCAGTTGGTTATTTGGTTATTGGAATTAGAGTCCCTCGACCATGGCCAATTCCGAGCTATGAGAACACAATAATGGATAACAACGGGGCAGGTCTACAAGCACCTGGGGACCCAATCGCCGGGACTAAGCCTGCGCAGCAGTCCTTTTGTAGGGCATGTGCATGGCTTCCGAACGGGGCCCCACTAGGGGGCCTAGAAGCCCTTGGCGAGATGCATGCAGCCTCCGCCCTCATTCCAAAAATAAGAACAAGCATCGAATAACTTAAGAATAGCACCAACCGTGAGTGGCGCATGCAGCCTGTCTCAGCCAAATGGGGTTACGAGGGTGCAGGATGAAGCAAGAAATGGGATGAGAAGGACGGATATTGAACACGATTGGGTTGTTTGGTTGTTTGGATTAGAGCCCTTTCGACCAGGAATCATTATTTCGGGGCCATGGGATAAAGGAGAATAGATAACGGTAGGGCGAAACCTTATGTGCCTGGGCGGGGGCGGGGGGGGGGGGGGGGGGGGCAACCGCCGAACATCAGCCCGCGCAGGTACCCCCTCGATGGGTGTGCGCTGGGCGCCCTGTCGGGGTTTCACTCCAGGGGGCTCCTCGGCCGACGGGTGACTGATGCATGCAGCCTGCCCCAAACCAGCGGGGCATCGAGGATTCAAGATAAATCAAGGAAGAGGATAAAAGGGTCCGATCTACAAACACGAATCACGTATTGCTCTATATAGTATAGTAAGTTTGATGGTGGTACGGTTTAGGACGGTGGGAATCGAATGACCTAAGAATAGTGTCACAACCGGGCATAAGAATATGTAAGTTCTGCTGTTCCCGTGTCTCGCCTCCGGCTCACTGGTACGCAATGGACGTCCAAAATCGCTTCTGTGTTTAACACTTGTCACAGGAACCCGTCGCAATCCGTCCCACCTATCCCGTAGGTAGGACGTCGCACGTCCCACCGTACGTCCCCGCGCCAGTAGCTTTCAGAATCCTCCCTTTGTTATCGCCCCCTCTCCCAACTCCGGCGGCCGCGTTCCTCGCACGGAACGTGGCCGCCGGCCGCGTTCCTTCCTCCGCCTGGAGCAGGAGGGAACTCCTCTATACGGCACTCGGCGGACTACGCAAATGACGCCATGAAACGCCACGTGCTTAAAGGTCACAATGAAACGACTGCAATGAACTATCGCAATGAAACGATTATGTTTTGAGCAGCATATTTACTAAATGCTAAAATTATTTTGTCAACAACGGGCTTTTGTGCTTACAAATCTTTCAATAGCTGCAAGTGAGCTTTTGCCATCACATCTGACGATGGCCTCAATATCTTCAAATGAGAAACACTCCGCTTAATTCTCCGGGTAAATGGGAGGTAAAAAGGCGGTCACTCATTTTTTGTCAGCATCGCAACAAGGAGCTCAAGAGATCACGAGAGTCTCAATTAGCGAAAAACTATTTTTTTCTGCTCATGGGCTCTTCATTTGCGCTTGATTGCTTTTGGTAGCTCGGAGGCCAAAGACGTGCGTTACAAATGTGTGTCCGTTCGGGGCCCCTTCGGAGCCTATGGGATCCTTCGGGATTAAAGGTAGGGGGCATGGTTCCGTGCCCCCTCCCCGCTTTGAGATCCGTCCAGTTGCTTCAGTCTCCCAACGTTGGCTTCAGACCCGCAAAGTCCTCTGAAGAAAATGGGCCGAATCCGGAAAGGAACCCCTTTGTTGCCGGATTTAGGGCAGTTCGAGTAGTTTTCTCATTGCCCAGCCGCCCCCCGCCCCCCCCTCCCCCCCGGACTCATTTTGAGGATCTTTGCCCCTGGACCGCATCCCATAAGGAACAATTGCGTACAAACATACGGCATAGCAACATACCACATGCAGCATATTGTTAAAGGGGGCTGCAAACAGCCCTTTTCCTTGCAGTTTTTTGCGCGTGAAGATTTTCGTTACAATTGTTTCCCGGCAAACATCAACTACTTCCAATTATGAATCATGCGAATTTTCTGTACTCGCTTTTGTTCGCAAATAATATTATGTTTCCATCCTCGTATGAGTGCTCAATGTAGGCGATAACAGGGCCAGCAACATAAATGTATTAAAGCCCTGCTTGTCCGCTTAATGTTGAATGGTAGTAGCAGTTCCGTCAGCAAAACAATACACCATTTTGATTGGTGTTTATCCGCTCACGTAGACTTCGCCCGCCACGTCTGAACTCCAGCCGGCAGTGTTGACCTTGGAGATCAGCTGCCTTTTCGGCGCGTGCGCGCGGGGTTTCCAATACAGATCGTTGCCGGGAGCCGGCTGGGCAGGGCGTGGGGATAGTTGGGGGCGGTACCTCGACTTCGAGCCGGTGTCTCCAGATTGCCTGTGTTTCTGCAGCTGTTGGCGATCCGACGCCGGCAACCATGGATGCAGTCTCGATGACCGTGCCGAACTACACGTATGTGTTCAAGTTCGAAGAGGACTTCGCTGCGGTTGAACGACGGCAGTGGATGGAGGACAACTGGCACATGTCGTTTTATTACATAGGCATATACATGGTACTGGTGTTCGGCGGACAGCACTACATGCAGTCGCGCCCCCGCTTCGAGCTACGCAACACGCTGGCGCTGTGGAACTTCTTCCTGGCCGTGTTCAGCATTATCGGCACCATGAGGACCGTGCCAGAGCTGTTATTTGTGCTGAAGAAATTTGGATTTCACCACTCCTGCTGCATTGCTGGTCACAGGTACGGATGCATGAATATTTGCTTTGTCTCTTGTATTTGGGTCGCACCGATCCTGATGCATTGCTAGCCATTGGTATGGATGCAGATGATAACATTGAATTGTTACATTTTTGATGAATTTGCATGGCTAGTATTGTAACAGCATTGAACACATAGGGCTACAGAATAGTATAATCAAGGTGCCTATGCTGTCTGGAAGCAGTTACCTATCTTTTAACCAAGTTATAAAAGTGTGAAACATGCCTTTAGATGGCATGTGTGATGTTAGGCTCAATGAGGGCTTTTGCAAGCTGGAACTTGGCTGCACCCCTTTAACAAAATGTATTGCTCCTTTCAGTTATGTTCCCAACAACTCAGTGTCTGCCCTCTGGTGCTACCTGTTCACCATGTCAAAGGTTCCTGAGCTGGCTGACACAGTGTTCATTGTGCTGCGGAAGCAGCCTCTGATCTTCCTGCACTGGTACCACCATGTCACCGTCCTCATCTTTGCCTGGTTCAGGTTAGTGCATAGATTATTTTGCCTCTGGTATGGCTGGAAACTGTTATAGGGATGCGGGGCTCTGATGACAAGTTTTCAAGAAGCTACTGGGACCTAATGTCTGGCCAAGATGAGCATGACATAAAGGCCTCAGGATTACCAAGCTATCTAATGAGATCTCTTCCAACGATCACCAACATATATTGACTAGTGTTGCTTAGTCCAGAGACTGCTCCTTGACCATTTTCAGGATTCCCAGACTGGGGGGTGGTGGTTACTTATCACTTGTCAATGTAGCTCAGGAATGATGGTGTAGGTATTATTTGTGGTGTATGTGGTAGTTAAGGCATCATTTATGGCATGAGATGCAAGCAGTTTCTCTGTGTGGTTCTCTCTGAGGTGCCAGTCCAGTTTTCTGAAAGAAACAAATAGTACAAGGGGCTATGTCAACTGGGGCTTTAGGCCCCAGTTGACATATTAATACTGAAAACATTGAGACATTTCAAGATTTGTAGAAATCCACATGTTGACAACTGAGATTCTAAAGTATGTGATATTATAATTATCATTTTTGCAACCAATCAAACACTCTGTGACATGCAGTCAGCAAGGTAATAGCAAACATGATTGATGTCACAACCTAAATGATGTATAAACATGAGTGAGTGAAGGTGTTGCATTGGGGAACCCATGCGTAAAGGAGTTCCCCGTGCGTCGGAAGTTTTCCTTCATAAGGTTAATAAGGTTATCAGATTAAGGACGTCCGCACATGATATATGTACGTTTTTGGTGACTGATGAAAGCGTTAAGTGTGAAAGTTCAAGTGGGAAAGCGTAGTATTTTGGATGGATATTGCACACAGCGAACTGGATCACACAACCATGTAGTTAACATAACCAGATCAGTCCCGGCATAGGCTCCACCGTGTTGTATCTGACACCGGTTTCGGAACGTGTGGCATGAGCTGCTCTTGACCTGGCAACGACGCGCCTACGGGTCGGGCGGCGTTGAGATCGTCCTGTGGTTTGTGGACGACACGCTGGCCTGTTCCGCGCGTCTCGTCTCACGTCTCTGCCTGGGTGCTGAGATATGACAGCAAGCCTTTTTTATGAGACGTGACGCACGTCGTCACGTCCCTTTTATGGAACGCCAGCGACTGCACTGGCCATCCTTAAAACGCCCGGAAACGGGGCGGATGGATCCATGACTCGCGCACACCTTGCATGAGACTCCGCACACACCGACCCACACTCGTGCCGGGGCGATCGCCTGTTTTCGCCTCCATTGGTAAACACGAGTCCCATGTCATCGCGAGGCCTGGGCGCCGGAATTGGGCCTGCTTCTGACCCCCGTTCAGCGAAGTTTTTGCGGTTTGAAGGTGTTGTATTTCCGTTGCTAACACTCGCCCGGGTGGCTGGTTGAATACCCTTCGCTCGGAGGGCGGTCAAGTTGACCCCCTGAGATCTAAGAAACTAAGAGAGCCAGAGACACCATTTCACAGGGCGTGTTGGCCTGTATGTGAACTCATTTCGTAAGACTTTCACACTCCTATGTCATGACCTGCAAGTCAAATAAAGTCGCACGAGGTCAAAAGCCAGGTTGTTATCCAAAGGGCCCCAGAACCTAGATATCTGTTCTAAGTAAAAGGTCACTGGTGCTCATTTAAGGTCAGTGGCCTTGTTCGACCCTTCGCAAGTCATGGTGACCAAAATTATACAATACTACTTTGAGTTGCATTTGAATAAGCGTCAGAGATTACGCTGGGCGGCATGTTCCTAAAAACAAAAGAGTTGACGATGGCCATTTTAGTTCAGTGACGTATTCTGAAATTAAAGAAGTCTACGGAAGATGTATAACGTGGTTCCTGTTATCAATAAATACGAAATAAGCGCCAGAAACTACTCCATACAGCAAGCTCTAGAGTAACAGCAGGTGGGTTTTGACCTTGGTCTGACCTTGATACCAGACCATAAGTCAATGAAATTTGTTCATTCAGTTGTTGTGTTGCCTACGAAATCATTTCAGAGATGGATGGCTTCGTCTAACACTCCGTTCTTGCATCAGATTGAACGATTCCCTAGAAATTGTCTTCGCAGAACCCGTGACCTGGCTTTGAAAACGATCTATTTAGTTTTCTACAGCTAGCAAAATTTGGCGTGGCTAAACCGTGCCGTTCGGAAAGCATTCCGGAAAACTTTTTTTTGGGGGGGGGCCAAATTGACCCGCACCTGAGCGCCTGTTAGTCAAATGGGGAGATAACGTATGGATAATGGGTCGCCAAAATGGATAGTGGTGATATTGCAGCGGTGATGGCATGCGCCGCCTCGGCATGGCATTGAAATGAGCAGCACACGTCATAAAGAATTGTGCTATATGCTACTGAAGCGTCGTGACAGAACTATGGGTATTTGCAAAGATCGACGTCCGCGCGAGCTGGGCTAGCCGGGCGTGAGTCAGCTGTTGGAGCTGCCATATTTTCGGATGTTGATGGTGTTTTAATCCGATGTTGAGACCCGCAGGGCTGACGACCTTGTCCGGTACAGTGTCTCGGGATGTTAAGTTTATGTGTATCAGGAAATTGGTGTCTGACATTTGTGGTGCCCTGCAGTTGAAAAGGTGTAAAATGGGCTCCAGACTACGGAAAGTTTGTTTGTCTGATAGATGAGATGTTCGGAATGGGTTCTACTGAATGGTTTGATGATGCATTGGGTGAAAAAGGAAATAAATGTATGTTTGTTTTAAATATGTTTTCCTAATTTACATTATTGTCCATGAATGATATCACGTTACGTTGTGTCATATGCATGGTGGATTACATGGCGTATTTGCATTATCATGCATTTTTTGTCACTTCCAGCGTTCCTTCTCATGTTTACGTGCGGTTTTTTCTCGACACGGACCCTGAGTTACGCTAGTAGGTTTTGTTAGGTCCTGTTCAAGAGCTTTCAGCAGAATTTGTCACCTCACTTGAGCGATTCTGAACGCGGTACACCGTTCCCTTCCTTTCGTCACGCTCCGGTAACGCCGCATAAAACCCCTCCCCCACCTGCGTAACGCAATTTACGGACCCCCTTAGGGAATTTGCGACAGGCCTGACTGCAGCAATTCCGCCAAACACTGTCCTGGTGTAGCAGTCTGTATTGACCGCACCAGAAGTCCCAGTGTCGCGTCAGCCGACTGTCATTTGATCGAACCTTCTGGCGTGGCTGCAGTTGTCAGTTGTCAGTTGTCATATGTCACCGGCTCACCAGCCAGCCGTCCATTTGTATATCATACATGTGTTCGTGTCGCGATCTCCAGCTACGGACTGTGGCCACGCGTCTCTGTGGGAACCGTGATGCGACAACCTGTAGCCAAGCGACCGTGTCGCCGTGTGACCCTGAAGCCGACGCTACGCTGTCAAAACCAAACACAAATCAAAGCGCCGCCGGGTTGTGGAGTCGTGCCATATCGTCCGTGTGTGCGCGCCGATCGTCTGGCGCCGTGACGCCGCTGGCGCTCAGCCCCTGCGGCGGCGGTGTCTTGCGGTCTGCTTCTTCCCGGGAAGAGAGACGTGGCGTATCTGGCCCCGCGTGACATTGAGGTGTACGCTGTGACCTCTAGCTCTGTGAATGCTCACGTGCAATTTGGAGCGGTGCTTACGGCGTGTTCAACGGAGCGTCGGTTGGCATTTATTGCGAGGACAAAAGATGAAATGAAATGGAAATGGATGAAAAGCTGTCGTCTGCAAAGAACTGAATAGCGAGCTGTTCGGTCCGTGAATGAGCCAAGGGCAGGGTATTCCAGTCTCCAAGTTGCCGCCGGCTGGGCGCTTCAGGTACTATTTTGGGCCCCATCAGAGGAGGATTTCTTGCGGACTCGGGAAATCCTCGGCAGGATCTCGACAAGACAGAAATAGTCGGCTTTGGAGGTGATGGTATGTCTGGTGTTTGACGGTGTTCCCCTCCGGTAGCTTCCGAGCATGCGTTAACGACTTTCTAGGTGTCCTGCACATCCCGAACATTCGGTTGTATTCGCCTGGACTTGAATTGGCGCTTTCCCAGAGGCCGAAATCTTCGACGCGTTGTCCTTGGTATCGTGTCGCAAAAGACCGTTTGGGATGAGCAAAAAAAAAGAGGAAAAGCAATTGGGATAATGGGGTCACCGACGGGACGAATTCTTATTGTGCATGAATATAAGACGTGCTCGAAAGTCAGGGGCAATGGCGGGGAGCCGATAGTGCAACGGTTAATGCGTCTGCGTTAACCGCTGTGCGTCTGGGAAACGAGAGGTATGGGTTTGATTCCCCGCGTTGTCAGCCCTTCCAGCCAGGGTGAGAGGCAGATGACGCCGTAAAGCCCCAGCAGCTGAACGCGTCGGAAAGTCACAATGACATGACATGATGTGGACCATGGCCAGTACCCGCAATTCCTTGCAGAGTTATCCTAAAATCAGGCCATCCATGCTCAGATATATGGCAATAGCAACGTGACCCCCGGCGCGTCGTTGGGTGAGGCTGTAGAAAGACCTTGCTGGGTGGGGGTCAGCAGCCGCGCTGCCACACGGAACTGCTTCAACACGAAGAAGAGGTCATGGGGCGAAGGGTTCACGCGGCTGTCGTCAATGGCGCGTCTGTTGAATGGAAATTTTTTCAGGTGGAAGATTAAAGGTAAGAGACAAGCGGCCTTTTCACCCTATTATTCACGTGACACAACAGTGTTTGCCGGCGTTATCCCCACGGCGGTACGCTACCTCACAGCGCTCGCTGGCGTGGGTGTCAGGCGGCGTCGGCCCACCGCTGCCGGCCGTGGCGTCCCAGCCGATGTCGGGAGCTGCCGCGGTCGGCGCCGGCGGGAACGGACCTGCGGCGGCTAGACACACCGTCAAAACTCAAGACTGTTGATGGAAAATGTCACCTTGTGCGGATGACCTGGCTCTAAAGTTTGTACTCTTTCCGGTCATCCATTCATGGAAACGTTGAAGTTTCCATCGATTTTGGTCTCCGCCTGGGCTTTGGCAACGACATTTCGGTCTCCGAGGCA